CGGTCCCGCCGGGCTTGCTCTAATTGGAAACGAGTCTAACGACATCACTCCCACGCACCCAGCCCCATAGAGAAGAAATCACTGACGTCACCTGACGGTTCCTTCCCTCACGTGCCGAGCCACGTGCTCAAGACGTCCCGTGCACGGGCTGCGCTGTCCGCTCGGGGACCGGGAGTCACACCCCCCTGCTCCCTGTCTCCGCTCGGACTCTTCTTCCTTACCTCTCTCAAGCAGCTCACCCTCCCTCAAAAAAAAAAAAAAAAAACAGAAATAAAAACAAAAGCAGAAAAACATTCCAGGAAAGAGTCACAGGTGGAAGCAGCCAGCACTTCCCGACAGGGTCCAGGATCGGAATCCTGGATGTGGACGGCGTGTGGCCGTGCGTCAGGTCCATGCAACTTAGATGTGGAGCAGCCCCGCCCAGCGCTGGGCCGGGCGGGCAACCGGGAGGGCGAGTGTCAGGACCTGTTCCTGCCGGGACCCCGCTGGGGGCCGTCCCTTGCAGGCTGGGGGTCTCCGTGTCCCCTGCACACACCCCTCCACCTCCCCTGTGCCCCTGAGGCCACCACCTCCATGGGGCCCTGCTTTGCCCTCTGGCTTCCGGACAATTCCGCAAAGCATCCCTTAATTAAACCCCTCCTTGGAGTACCCCGTTTGTGAGTGGCATCCGATTGTCTTTCCAGAGCCTTTAACAAAACACTTCCTGCTCCCGGCGTTATTTCTGAGCAGCACACGGCTCCACGGCATTGCCTTGAAGGGCAGATTCAGAGTTGAGGGCGACGGTGGTGTTTGCGGCAGGAACTGTGGCAGGCCACAGCCACGGGTCCCCTATCCAGGGTATGAGGGGAACCTCGCTCGATGGCTGTAATAGTATCTCACTGAGCCCAGTGCTTTCTGCACACCAGGCAGGGTGCTAAGGGACTGACATGTGTTGACTGCCAAGTCTTAGCAACAACCAGGGAGATGCTTGCTATTATCCCAGTTCCTACAGATGAAAAGAAACAGGCACGGAGAGGCTCGGGGAGCTGCTGAGACCCTGTGAGAGTGGACAGTGAAGCCAGGGCGCAGCTAGGGGTGGCTCAAGGGCTGGGCCACCCCTGGAGGAACCGTGTGCCCTCCCGGGAGGAACAGATGCCTTCCTCCACCCTCCCGGCCCTCGCTAGGAGCTGAGCCTGCAGAAGTGCAAGTTCAGGTGCCAACAAGGGCAGCGGCCACAGGCAGAGCCACCCACGGCCACCGCGGTGCTCACGCCCTGAATCGCAAACTGGATGTCGGCTGAATGACAGCTGATTTCCCCTGCAGAGGAAGCAGCAGTCTCACGCCCCGTGGGACCTGGACCTAGAATCTTCTTTTACATTCCTTTGTTTCCCCAAAAGCTGCGTTAGAGCACAGCTGATTTATGGTGTTTGACTGTTGGCCAAGTTGCTTTGGGAGTTCTGCCAAGCAATTAAAAGATTGAGAAAGGTTTAAATATGATGTTTAAAATGCAATAAAAATCAACATGCATGCTCAAATGTGTATCAAATTATAACAAATTAACCAGATAATGCCTCCAAAGTGCTCAGATTTTAGCGTGCCTCACCATTTGCACATGCGTGCTTTTACTACAATTTGAAAATTGTTTTTTATAGTAAACAGGATTTTTAAGGTCATATATCTCTTAAAAACTGATTGTTTTTCTTAAAACTTGTAAGAACTTATAGAAATAAAATTAATTCTGGAGTGAATAGACAAATCAGTAATTCTTAATCAGATTTTTTTATAAGTCATATTGTTCTCCTATATTAGCTTGTGAAACACATTTTGAAATTTTTGAATAAATATGTTCACATGGTTCAAAATTCAAAAAATACACATGAGAGTAAGTCAGGGTCACCTCCTGCCACGGCCCCCCAGCTTCTCGCTCCCCTCCCCACGGAGGGCAAAGTTGTTAGTTTTTTTTCTCTTTCCTTTCAGGGCTGTTTTATGCACACACAGGGAAGTAGATGTGTCTGTTCATGTATTTCCCCGTTTTTAACACAAGCGACAGAGTAGGATGCACCTGCCCCGAGTCTGCTTTTCCACTTCCTGTGCCTTGAAGGGTGTCCCTGGCAGAGGACAGGGGCCTTCCTCTATCTTGTGTCTCCGCACCCTGCCCCACCGTGGCAGCACAGATTCGTGCCAAGGAGACATCACTCCATCATGAAATTGTAATTGGAAAAAAAAAATTAACCTGCTACTAATTTTTTTTTTAAATCCATGAATGGACCGGGCGCGGTGGCTCATACCTGTCATCCTAGCACTCTGGGAGGCCGAGGCGGGAGAATCGCTCAAGGTCTGGAGTTTGAAACCAGCCTGAGCAAGAGTGAGACCCCATCTCTACTAAAAATAGAAAGAAATTACTTGAACAGCTAAAAACATATAAAAAAATTAGCCGGGCATGGTGGCACATGCCTGTAGTCCCAGCTACTCAGGAGGCTGAGGCAGGAGGATCGCTTGAGCCCAGGAGTCTGAGGTTGCTGTGAGCTAGGCTGATGCCATGGCACGCTAGCCCGGGTGACAGAGTCAGACTCTGTCTTAAAAAAAAAAAAAAAAAAAATCCATGAATGCACCTTAACCTTCTCCGATAGCCCTGAGAGAGGGACGGCCAGGGGCAGTCGGGGCACTGGAGTCCTGACCCCTTGCTGCTGGCATCCCCCCAAGAGGCGTACGACAAGCCTCCCAGCACCCCCCTAGGCTCTGGGACTTGAAGGAACCCCTCCTCCATGTTGAATAATCCTTGAAAAACCTCTCTACTTTACAACGATGAATTATCTTTAGTTGGCCCTTTGTCAGTGATAGAAATAGTAATCCTGGTGCTCTGGCTAAAAGTGGAGTCAAATGTAGCAGGAGGAGAGAATTTTGTGTCCAGAAAGGGAGGCTAACTTCTCCCCCGGCCCGCAAGTGCCTCCGTGAGCACTCACACACCACAGGGCAGTGCGTGGTCAGAGCTGAGCGGTGGGCTTGGCAGATCTTGGCAGATGGGGCAAGGCCCGGCACTGTGGTGAGTTGTTATAACGGCAATGGGGAGAGGAGCAACGGGCCGAGGGACAGAGTGCTTGCAGGGGGTCAAGTGCCACCCGGGTTTGGCCCACCCAGAGACTAGCACGAGGGCGTGTGCAAAGCCCCGTGAGAGTCTTTGACCTTTCACCCTCGCACTCTGGCAGCGAGAGGACTGTACATTCTCCAAGCAGCTTGACAATTTAGAATCAGGCGGAACTAACACGAGAGCTGGAACAAGTCACTGCTGGGAAGGGGTTCCCCCATTCCGAGAGCTGTTTGCAGCATACGTGCTGTGGGGTCCCCATGAACGGAGTCCCCTCCAGGGTGGGGACCTGCCGCCTCAGGGCACATGGGGCCTCTGGGTCCTTGGGTGCAGCTTTTTCACTGAGTCCAAATTTTGCGGGACAAACCCTTTCAGTAAAGGGATTTGTTCTATGACGTGTGGATCCGGTCGAGGGGCCACACGTGGCGGTCGGGAGGTTCCCCGCCCCTGCTGCGTGGGCCCCACCACTCCCACCCCCGCGGCGGGGCAGAGGCCGTGATTAGCCGCTTCGGTACGAGCGTCCACTATAGTCGACAGCCACAGATAAGCGGGCACGGCCCAGCATCGACCGTCGTCTATAATTTTGAATTGACTTTTCTAATTTTTCATTTATCAAAATAAAATGGTCAACATTTAAAAATAACGTAATGGAAACATATATGTGTGTGTTACCTATTCTGATTTACGTGACAAGGAAAGCTGCCTGTAGAGTAAAACAAGCTCTCAGTGCTTTCAAGCTTTCCTCGTCACACAAGAGCAGAACAGACTTGTCGTCAATGCACGGCACAGACCACCGCGAGGACTGTGCGTGCGGCGTGGGCGAGGTTGCGCGGCCGTGAGCGCCGGACCAGAGTGGTTGAGGTACCCCTGGAGGTATCAGCCATCTGCTTCCGTGGTGCGGAGACAACTGCACCTGTCACCCTGGGACATGGGACACACAGGCTGGGCAGCAGAGGGGCAGAGCTCGTGTGTGACCGGGCGGTGCCAGCAGAGCCACCTGCGCTCCACCCCAGGGCCTCTTGGCGGGAACCGACAGCTCTGCTCCTCCCGGTGCCTGCCTGTGGCCACAGAGCGGCGGGGCGCGCTGGCTGGAGGCGCATCTTGGAGCGAAGTGAAAGCTCAGGCCGCCCAGCCACAGCCCGCGGAGTGGATGGACTTGCGTTCTGTTGTTGGGGTCCCCGCGAGAGCTCCCCACTTCCCCCTTCACCACCCAACCTTGTAATGTCTTAAATTAGTGTCTGAAGGCAGTTCTTTGTTTTTTTTTGTTTTTTTTTTTTTGAGACAGAGTCTCACTCTGTTGCCCAGGCTAGAGTGAGTGCCGTGGTGTCAGCCTAGCTCACAGCAACCTCAGACTCCTGACCTCAAACAATCCTGCCTCAGCCTCCCAGAGTGCTAGGATTACAGGCATGAGCCACCATGCCCAGCCCAAAAGCATTTTTTAAAGTGTCAATCTTGGTGGGCGCGATGGCTCACGCCTGTAATCCTAGCACTCTGGGAGGCCGAGGCAGGCGGATTGCTCGAGGTCAGGAGTTGGAAACCAGCCTGAGTAACAGCGAGACCCCGTCTCTACTATAAATAGAAACAAATTAATTGGCCAACTAATATATATATAGAAAAAATTTAGCTGGGCATGGTGGCGCGTGCCTGTAGTCCCAGCTACTCGGGAGGCTGAGGCAGGAGGATTGCTTGAGCCCAGGAGTTTGAGGTTGCTGTGAGCTAGGCTGACGCCACGGCACTCACTCTAGCCTGGCCAACAAAGCAAGACTCTGTCTCAAAAAAAAAAAAAAAAAAAAAGTGTCAGTCTTGTGCTCGTTGGGGAAGAAAGGGGCGGCGTGGGCTCCCAGGCTGGCTGACGTTCTCTTGGTCGGGGCGAGCCCGTGCGGGGCGGGGAGCGGGCCGGGCCAGCCTCTCAGCGGCCCGTGTGTGTTTGTTCCAGATCATCGACAAGAGCAAGAGGGACCCCTCAGAAGAGATCGAGATCCTGCTGAGGTACGGCCAGCACCCGAACATCATCACCCTCAAAGACGTAAGTGGCTCGTGCAGCAGTGACCCCGCTTGCTGCTTGTCCAGGGGACACAGAAAGAGCTAGCGTTTGTTTGGTGCGAGTTTTCTGCAGCGAGTGTTTCTGTGCGGGCTTTAGCAGCGGCTCATCCTGCCGAGATTGTGAGCCTGAGCCCGTTTCTACCGCTCGCATCTAAACCACAGGGGCTGACGCTGGCTGTTCACTCGAACCCCTTAGAGCCCCCACCCCCGTCCTCCTGTCCTCCCGGCAGGAGGAGGTAACCTGTGTGCCTTATAACCCAGAGGGCGTTTCTGGTTGCCATGCCTACATGTAACGAGATGAAAGGGAAGGAAGCGGTGGGAGGGGCTGGCTCAGATCTGACCAGAGGGCCCTGGCTGTGGCCCTGGCCTCTTTGGGACCCTGCTGGTGCTTTTCCCAGTGTGTGGGGGGGGGGGCAGGAATCCGACACGTTGGGCCAGACAGGAGGCCCCAGAGCACCACGCAAAGGCCAGGGGAGAGAGGAGGCAGTTTTTTCCCTCTTCCCCCTCACCCTGGAACTTCAAAGTGATCCCTGCACCAGGCACCCAGAGCCGCAAAATACCGGAGCGACCCTGGTCTCCCGTATGCATGGCGACTGGGGTATGCACGTGGTCTTAACATGCCAGCTTGGCATAAAGGTAGCCGAGTGCGTGAGCAAGAGCTGGCGTGGACGGAAGCCGCAGCCCCGCCCTGGAGAGGTGGCTCAGCTCTGCGCCCCCCCCCCTGCGCTCTCCCCGCGCCCGGCCGCTCAGCGTTGGCCGTGGGGCGACAGCACAGCCGTGCCCCGGGAGCCGGCTGGAAACGCGGGAGCAGAGCGTGCAGCGAACAGGATCCCCCGAGACCCGGTGCGCGGTGGAGTTTGGGAAGCGCTGCCCGAGGGAGCTGCCCTGGCCTGGTGCTGTGCCGACCCCCACCTTTCTTAGCAGCCAAATATCTCCACCTCGCAGAGGCGGGGCAGTGTCATGAGCTGACTCCTCTCAGCTGGGAACCCGAACATCCCACTGAGCGCTCTTCAGGCCCAGCTCACCCGGTCCCTGCGTAGTAGCCGAGGGTTGTTGACGCTGCCTTAGTCCTGAGAAGAGCCTCCGGGGTGGGTGGGGACGGCCATCTATCTGCTCCTTCCCCACGGGAGCCCGCTTCCCTCCCCGGGACCCCAAGAGCCCGGCCTCCCCCGCCCGCTCCCCTCTCCCACCTCCTCTGCAGTGGCGGCCCCCCCACGGCGGCCAGGGGCCCGGGAGGCAGGCAGCCGAGGACGGCACCCCGTCTCTGAGGCCCACGCCCTCTCCCGCCCAGGTGTACGACGACGGCAAGTTCGTGTACCTGGTGATGGAGCTGATGCGGGGCGGGGAGCTGCTGGACCGCATCCTGCGGCAGAGGTGCTTCTCGGAGCGCGAGGCCAGCGACGTGCTCTGCACCATCGCCAAGACCATGGACTACCTGCACTCCCAGGGGGTGAGCGCCGGGGCCGGGGCTGGGGGGCTGGAACCGTGGAGGGGGTTGCCGGTTCCAGAGGCGGCAGTCCAGGTTGTCTGTGCGTCCCGTCCGTGTGCAGTCGCCCCTCTCCGTGTGCCTCCGTGAGGGTGCAGGGGAGGGAGAGTTCTCTCTCCCCCTGCCCGTCCCGGCTGCTCCGGCCGAGGCCTGTGGGTCACCCCGGCAAAGGCAGGTTGATGGGAGAGAAACCAACGGGGCATTAACAGGTGCGTCTTGCACACACCTGGGAGCACTCACCGTGAGTAGCCCAAAGGGCAGTCGGCACCGGGGCTCCTGCAGCGTTGTGACACAGAGCAACACGTCTGCAGAGAAGGGACCGGACAAGGGAAGGGACCTCGAGTTTCTATGGCAGCAAACTATGGGAGGCGGATATGAGGGACCCGGGAGATAAGGGCCGGTCAGGCCTGTCGCGGTGGCTCACGCCTGTAATCCTAGCACTCTGGGAGGCCAAGGCGGGCGGATTGCTTGAGGTCAGGAGTTGGAAACCAGCCTGAGCAAGAGCGAGACCCCGTCTCTACTATAAATAGAAAGAAATTAATTGGCCAACTAATATATATAGAAAAAATTAGCCGAGCATGGTGGCACATGCCTGTAGTCCCAGCTACTTGGGAGGCTGAGGCAGGAGGATCGCTTGAGCCCAGGAGTTTGAGGTTGCTGTGAGCTAGGCTGACGCCACGGGACTCACTCTAGAGTGGGTCAACAAAGAGAGACTCTATCTCAAAAAAGGGGGGGGGCAGTCAGCAGGGTTTGCCATGTGGGTTGCTCTGGGGCTCTCCAGGGTGGCCAGGGTCTGGCATTGTCCTCGCGATTAACTGCTGTCCTTCCTGGCCCAGAGGGGAGGGGACACTTCTACCAATTTATATCCTGCTTTTGGGCAAAAAGGGGGAGGACAGGGAGCTTTTCTTTCTTTTTTTTTTTTTTTTTTTTTTTTTTTTTGAGACAGAGTCTCGCTTTGTTGCCCCAGGTTAGAGTGCCATGTAGAGACAGGGTCTCGCTCTTGCTCAGGCTGGTTTCGAACTCCTGACCTCAAGCAATCCACCCGCCTCGGCCTCCCAGAGAGCTAGGATTACAGGCGTGAGCCACCGAGCCCGGCCTAGGGAGCTTTTCTTACATCTGTGTCTTCTCAATTGTCTTCGGCTCAAATATTCCTTCTGCCAAGTGGCACATTTTGGGGTGACACATTCTGCTACCCTTCACAGGTCTAAAGTCATTTCTACACATAGTGTATCCAGGAGCTGTGTTAATAAATTAAATTTATGTGGACGCATTTTAGCAAAGAAAACAAAAAAAGATACTTTGGCCTTGATAAAAGGAAATTTAGAATTATCGTTACTTGAGATATATAAAGTTGGACTCATTAGCTGACTCGAAGGAGCACCGTAGACAGAAATGACAGCGACAGCCGAGGCCCTCGGGGTCCTCACCGTGGCCGTGTCCCAGGCTCTGGTCCAAGCTGCTCACTCACAGACTCCCAAGCCCAGGTCACAGCCGTGGTGCAGGTGCGGAGCCTGGGGCACAGGAAGGAGGGTTGAGTGTTCTGCCCAAGGTCACACGTGGGTGTGCGGCCACCGGGGTCCGGCCCAGCTCTCAGCCCCAGACCCACCTCCTCCCAGGACGGCGGCCGCCCCGCGCCGCACTCAGCTGTGCGCAGTCTCTTCTCCTCGTCTCGAGAACCAGCAATACCGCCGTGGCCAGCTGTGCGCGCGTGGTCGTGAGGTTGGAATCGTGGTCCTCTCTGAACAGGGGTGCCCTTCCAGGACGGCACAGCGGGCCGTCCCGTGCGGCCGCCGTGGCTGGGGAGCGCCAAGCAGGTCCCGGCCTCCCAGAACAGGCCCTGGCCTCTCCAGGGGAGGCCCTGGCATGCTGCGTTTGCGGGCTGTTTCTGTGGAACGGGGGCGGAATGGAGTGAAGCCGCAGCCTTCCACTTCCCCGTCTCGGGGCCTCCGTCTGCGGGGCTCGACCTCCCCCTTGGTCCTCCCGCTGGATTTAACAGGACAGTGGGGACATGGAGCCTCCGAGCCGTGCAACGGCACGCCACGTGTCCTCGCAGTGGCCCTGTGTCCCCGCGGAAGACAGCGCCCTGTGCTCTAAGTGTCCGCTGTGCTCTGAGGTGTGCACCCCGTCCGCACGGCCGGGTCCCCAGGGCAGGTGCTCAGCCACCACCTGCCACCCACCTGCACAGGTGCCACCGTGCGGCGTCTGCGTGAGCACTCGGCCCCTGCCCTTCCCCCAGGGGTCAGTGTGCCTGTGACAGCAGCCACCTGGTCAGTGCCTCTCGCTGCTGCGTCCCCAGCCCCTAACAGTGCCTGGCACGTAGTAAACACTTAATGACTGAGTATCATTTTGGTTTTCTGAGACAGAGTCTCGCTCTGTTGCCCGGGCTAGCGTGTGGTGGCATCAGCCTAGCTCACAGCAACCTCACACTCCTGGGCTCAAGCGATCCTCCTGCCTCAGCCTCCCAAGTAGCTGGGACTACAGGCACGCGCCACCATGCCCGGCTAATTTTTTTGTATTTTTAGTTGTTTGGCTAATTTCTCTCTATTTATAGTAGAGACGGGATCTCGCTCCTGCTCAGGCTGGTCTCGAACTCCTGAGCTCAAACAATCCTCCCGCCTCGGCCTCCCAGGGTGCTAGGATGACAGGCGTGAGCCGCCGCACCTACAATCTTTAAGCAGTGTCCTACTCCCCTTACCTGAACTCACCGCATGTCCATCTCGGTAACAGCTGCAGTGAGCCCTGCAGGCGTCTCGGGCGGGTGCTTACCCATTGGCTCGAGTGCCATTCAGTGCCCGCAAGTAACAGCAGGTGCTCGGCCCTGAGTGGCCAACGTGAGGGTGGGGGAGGAAACAGCGCCCGCGTCATGCCGTGGATCCGCCCCAAGCGGACGGTTCCAGGGCAACCCCCGACCTTCGGGGCGCTTCCCCCGTCCTCTCCCCTGCCCGTCCTATCCCCCACGTCAGGTGTGATCCTCCTGCCTTCCAGGTGGTCCACCGAGACCTGAAGCCCAGCAACATCCTGTACGTGGACGAGTCCGGAAACCCCGAATCCATCCGCATCTGCGACTTCGGGTTTGCCAAGCAGCTGCGCGCGGAGAACGGGCTGCTGATGACGCCCTGCTACACGGCGAACTTCGTGGCCCCCGAGGTGAGCGCCGGCCGGCCAGCGGGAGCTGGGGCGCCAGTCCCTGAGCAGCCCCTGCTTACTGCTGCCTGCAAAGTAGCCGGACGGTGGGGTGTGCCAGAGCCACCTGGACGCACTTAGCCATGGTGTGAGGAAAGAGAAACAGGACCCTTCCAGGCCCTTTGACTCTGCCGCCAACCCTGCTCAAACATGTTTTGTTTTTTGTTTCTTTTTGAGATAGAGTCATGCTTTGTTGCCCAGGCTAGAGTGAGTGCCGTGGCGTCAGCCTAGCTCACAGCAACCTCAGACTCCTGGGCTCAAGCGATCCTCCTGCCTCAGCCTCCCGAGTAGCTGGGACTACAGGCATGTACCACCATGCCCGGCTAATTTTTCTATATATATTAGTTGGCCAATTCATTTCTTTCTATTTTTTATGGTAGAGACGGGGTCTCGCTCTTGCTCAGGCTGGTTTCGAACTCCTGACCTCGAGCAATCCGCCAGCCTTGGCCTCCCAGAGTGCTGGGATGACAGGCGTGAGCCACCGCGCCCGGCCCAAACATGTTTATCATTTCATGTGCCCATCTGGAAAAACTTTGATGTAAAATTGTCATCGTGCTACAGACATACTGGACCGGGCTGCATGTTTGTTCCAAGCTGGCGTGAGAAATAACGCCATCACGCTCTCGGTGCACGGGGACGCGGAGCTGACGGGCGCTCTGTGGCCGGGAGTGCGTCCGGCAGCTGGGGAGAGAGTGACGTTTGCAGACTCTCCTTGCACCATGAGTCTTGCTCCGGGTCGCTTTTCCTGACAGGAGCAAGTTGGCAGCTGTCGAATTTAAGAATGCTGGGGTTCCGTGGTGATTTGCAGCTCATATAAATCCATAGGCTACGTCGGAGAGTCTCAGCAAGGTGGACTTCTCCCTTTTCCTGTTTCCTGGGGCAGCTTCGGTCGGGTTCTGGAGGCATGGATACGTTTGTGCAGACAAGTTCTGCGTCTTGCTTTTCAGCAAAGCAACCGCGAGCCCCTGAGCAGCCCCTGAGCCGTGGCGAACAGAGGCAGGGGAGGGCAGAGGCTGATGCTGCTGACACATCCGGGGGAGGGAGCCGGGACTGAAAACAGACGTTGGGTTGCGTGGTTGCACCCAGTGTCCGCGCTGTGCTGGCGTGAGCGGGGCCACGCTCGGCAAGTCCTCAGAGAAGGGCGAGCCTGGCACCTAGTGGTGGGGCTGTCGGCCGTCTGAGAGGCAGCCCACGGCCACTGGGCCACAGCAAAGGTGCTGTGCGTTCCGTGCCCAAACGTGGATGGACACACAGCCGGCGGAGTGGGCTGAATGGCCACCACTGGGTTATCCAGGAGTTACCCGGCCACTCGAGCAGCCTGTGACCCCTTTAAAAACAACCTGGGCATAGCCTCTAGTAATGCCCTGTTTAGTCAGCGTCTCCTTAATCCTCCTAGGTGCTCAGTTGGAATGGACCCCTGAAACAAAAAACCGATTGACAGGGAAAAACAAATGAAGGTTTATTAACACAGGTATTTCACATATGCTCAGCAAGACCCAGGGAAGGAGCTGTTCTCCAGGAGGTGGCCCCGAGTGCCAGCTCACACGACGCCTTCAGCAAAGGACAGTGAGTTTTAGAGCAGAGACAAGACGGAGGAAAAGGACTTTGGGTCTCGGGGGCGGCAGCTGTGGGACAGGCAAGGAGCTGGCGGGCAAAGGCTGCCAGCCACACGGCTCCAGGCCGTCACCGTGTTCTCCCTGGAGAGGGGCGGGCACCTTCTGTCCCTGTAAATCCGTGTCCCGACTCGGGCAAACGCGGAGGCCGGAGCTCTCCTGCGTGAGCTGCTGGCGCTCTGCCTTCAGTTCCGTGCTCACACCCAGCAGGGACGTTGTGAGCTGTCACGTTCTGGCCGCCCCAGCACCGAGTTTGTGGGTCACAGAATGCCTTCCAGTGTTCCGTTGCTTCCCCATCCGCAGAGCACTCAGACCAGTGTGTGGTTGGTTTTGTTTTGTTTTTGAGACAGAGTCTCGCTCTGTTGCCCAGGCTAGAGTGAGTACCATGGCGTCAGCCTCACTCACAGCAACCTCAGACTCCTGGGCTCAAGCAATCCTCCTGCCTCAGCCTCCTGAGTAGCTGGGACTACAGGCATGCACCACCATGCCCGGTTCATTTTTCCTATATATATTAGTTGGCCAATTAATTTCTTTCTATTTATAGTAGAGACGGGGACTCGCTCTTGCTCAGGCTGGTTTAGAACTCCTGACCTCAAGCAATCCTCCCGCCTCGGCCTCCCAGAGTGCTAGGATGACAGGCGTGAGCCACCGCGCCCGGCCGAGACCAATATGTTTTACTTTCACTCCTATGCACCGTATGGGGCGGTCGGGGCAAACCGTTAACAGGCACCTCCCACAGGCGCAGAGAAAACCAGCTTGATGTGTTTGAGCGACTTTTAAGGCTCACTCGGCTCACAAATTGTGAGGCGAGGGCTTGACCGGCCAGAGCTCCATCCATTCAGCGTGTCCTGGCTGGACACGCACCACGCCATGGTCACGGCACACGCTGGCAGGACACAGGGATGGGAGGACGGGCTTCTTGCCCTCACCTCTGCGGAGACCGAGCACAGCAACCCCAACCGCACATTGAACGCTGACCTCCGCAGTCTGCAGTGTCCACAAGCGCTTACAGCCTTTTTTTTTTTTTTTTTTTTGAGACAAAGTCTCACTCTGTCACTCTGGCTAGAGTGCCGTGGCGTGAGCCTAGCTCACAGCAACCTCAAACTCCTGGGCTCAAGCAATCCTCCTGCCTCGGCCTCCCCAGTGGCTGGGACTACAGGCATGTGCCACCATGCCCGGCTAATTGTTTTCTATATATTTTTAGTTGGCCAATTAATTTCTGTCTACTTTTTTAGTAAAGACAGGGTCTTGCTCTTGCTCAGGCTGGTTTCGAACTCCTAGCCATGAGCAATCCTCCCGCCTCGGCCTCCCAGAGTGCTAGGATCACAGGCGTGAGCCACCGCGCCCAGCCTGCTTCTTTACTGCTATTCGACTGTAAGTGTGTCCGAGGATCGCCCTCTACAGAAGGACGCAGTCCTAGGCTACAGTGACATGTTTCTTGCTCTAACAGTTCTCAAAAAATTAAACATGGAACTATCACGTCATTCGGAAATTCCACTGACGCCCAAAAGAGTTGGAGGCAGGGACTCAGACAGGTATCCGCCCACCCACGTTCATAGCAGCGGCATTCACGGCAGCCAAAAGGCAGAAGCGAGAGGTGACCCAGCAGTGCAAGCGTGGAAACAAGTGTGTGTATCAAATGCATGCACTGGGACATTATTCAGCGTTGAAAAGGGTAGGAGACTCGGACACACGCTGCAACGCACACAGATCTTGAAGACGTTGTGCTGAGTGAAGCCAGCCACGCTCATCAGAGGTCCCCAGGGGAGTCGGCGTCACAGAGGCAGAGTGGCACGGGGGAGGGGCTGGGGAGTCGAGTGGGGACAGAGCTCCGGTTTGGGAAGACGGAAGGGTTCTGTGGGCGGACGGTCGGTGGTGACGGTGGCGCAGCGGTGAGCTTGAGCTGTGCGCTTACACAGGGTTGAGGTGGGAAATTTTTACGTTATGCATATTTCACCGCGATAAAAAAATTCCTTTTTTTTGTTTTTTCATTTTTTTTATTATTTGTTTTCTTTTTTCTTTTCTATTTTTTTTTTTTTTTTAGCCTTAAGATCTGAATAGAACAAAAGGAAAAAAAAAATTCCTATGCCTTGGAAATTAAGTGCCTCCTTGTCGCTCGGCCGTGCGTCCGGCAAGAGCTGTGGCTCGCTGTGCGGCCACCCGCGAGGGGCTCGGGGTCCGAGTGCTGGACGGTGGGGTCCGCCCTGCATTCCCACGACGGCCGGTCTCACTGCAGACACTGCGCCATCCTCCTGCCGGGCCCCTCCCCGCCCAGCTCAGGGTGCGTCGGAGACCCATGCTGAAAACCTCGGTTTCCTTAGCGAAGCGCTCACCTGTGGTCTCTCGTCCCCGTCTAGGTCCTGAAGCGCCAGGGGTACGACGCGGCGTGCGACATCTGGAGCCTGGGGATCCTGCTGTACACCATGCTGGCGGGGTAAGGATGGCGGCACGCGTGCACCGGGCAGGAGCCTGGATGGCTGGTCCCTCTCGAGGCCAGAGTGGGGCCCGCCCGGGTGCTCACCTGTGGGCAAGCACGTGCACCTGCCGGCACTCTCGGGCTCCCGGTGGAGGCTGTCAGACTGCCGTAGCCCGGGACAACTAAGGAGCAAGGATAAGACACCTAGCCATGTGTTTTCTCTAAACTCAGCTCATAAACACCCGAGCCTTGTGCTTGCCTGTCCTCCTTCTCTGCTCAGCCATGCCGCCCTCTCAAAAGGTGCTCACAGCTGTGCCTTCTGAGCATCCTCCTGTGCCAAGCAGCATGCACAGCCGCCTCAGGGTCACATGGCACCTGCGATTGACTGCCAGTCCCGGCCCTGCACCTGGCTTTGGTGGCCACTGCCCGTGCATGAGCCGGGTCCTGCAGAGGAGACACGTAGTGCAGAAAGGCCTGGGCCTGCTGCCTGCACGCCTCGTTCCCACGTGAGCGCCTCCCTGCCCCGGCCCAGAGTCCTGGGCTGAACCCCCAGCGGGAATCGGCCTCTCTTCTCTCACCTCTGTGTGGGCAGAGGACACTCCGTGGCTCCTCCAGCCAGGGAGGTCTAGGATCCTGTGAGAGTCACTAGTTCCTAACATTTTTAAGTTTACGAAATAATTAAATGAGCCGAGCGCGGTGGCTCACGCCTGTCATGCTAGCGCTCTGGGAGGCCGAGGCAGGCGGATCGCTCGAGGTCAGGAGTTCGAAACCAGCCTGAGCAAGAGCGAGACCCCATCTCTACTATAAATAGAAAGAAATTAATTGGCCAACTAAAAATATGTAGAAAAAATGAGCCGGGCATGGTGGCGCATGCCTGTAGTCCCAGCTACTTGGGAGGCTGAGGCAGGAGGATTGCTTGAACCCAGGAGTTTGAGGTTGCTGTGAGCGAGGCTGACGCCACGGCACTCACTCTAGCCTGGGCAACAGAGTGAGACTCTGGCTCAAAAAAAAAAAGAAATATTTAAACGTTGACAAAATAATAAAAAAAAAAAAAATCAGACCCGAGACCACCCCATCCTGCTTGCTGCAGCACACGGGCAAAATGCCGCCCGGAGAGCGAGCGGAATGGCGGCTCCGCGGGTGTCTGGTGATCCGCAGGCGGGAGGTGTCCCCAGCGAAGGGGCCTGGCTCGGGAACGCGGCGCTGTGCTCCGCGGACGGCAGTGGAGTCCTCTGGATTCCACGCTGTTAGGCTGTTCCTTGATTGTCCTGACACTCACTTTGCCTTTGCGTAGCGCCAGGATCACAGACTCCGCCTCTAAAGGCAGTGCTGTTACAGCCCGCACGCCTCCTCCTCGGGAGAGCAGAGGCTGACACGCCCTCGGGTGGGAGAGGGACGCGGATCAGGCGCTTAGATACGGCCGGTGCCGGGCCTGGCGTTTTATGCGAGCTCTCGCCTTCACTTTGCGTTTGCAACGGAGGCTCAAAAAGTTAATGTGTCGAAGAACCCGGAGTGGGTAATAGATCAACCACGGGTCTCTCAGACTTCAAGTGTCAAGCTCTGGTCCATGGCGCCACACCGTCACCATGGAAACCGCATCACCAGGCAAACCGCTGGACCGCCCCGTCACCTGTGCGGCCAGAAAGGGGCTAGGAGGGCCAAACCCTGGGGCCCACAGGGAACTCTTCACTTGCCTCATTGACCGAGGGAGGAAAATAGTCATAGCCTTAGGAAATAAACAGCAAGGAAAAGCAAATAGGTTTTCTTTTTAACAACACAGTGGTGATATTGAGTTGTAAACTTTATTTTATATTGTAAAATGGAAGCTCACTGCCACCAATTATCTCACCGCACAGATTCACCCCTTTTGCAAACGGCCCGGATGACACCCCCGAGGAGATCCTGGCCCGGATCGGCAGCGGGAAGTACGCCCTCGCCGGGGGCAACTGGGACTCCATATCCGACGCGGCGAAAGTGAGTGTGCGTCCCGTATTTTCACTCCTGGAGTACGGAGATTCTACGATAGCCATGCTACTTGTGAGGAAGCTAGATTATTATGTATCTTCTATATAAATGAAAGAGATATTTCATCCTCGGGATTTTAAGGCTCTCAGCTTAAAAGAAATATCTGCAAAGCTCTTTCACAGCACCTTCACATTTTCTGCTGACTTAGTGTCAGGCTAAGACTGGCTTCTCCCGAGAAACAGAGCCAGGAAGGCATGCGTGGAGCAGGTGCGCTTAGAGAGAGACAGAGATTTATTTTCGAGTAATCGGTTCATGTGACTGAGGGGGCAGAAAGGTCTGAGGTCCGCAGGGCAGGAGGCAGCGGGAGCCCCGAGAAGAGGCGAGGGTCCCCGGGGCCCGCCTGCGGGCGGAATCCTCTTCCCCAGGGCAGTGCGGGCCTTTTCTATCAGGGCCTCCGACTGAAGGGATGAGGCCCACCCCCGTTGCGGAGGTAACTGCTTTACTCACAGTCGACTGACTTAAAGGTAATCATGTGTAAAAAATACTCACAGAAACACCTAGGCTGGTGTTTGCTCAGTGGGCTGCCGCCCAGCCCAGCTGGCACGCAAAGCCAACCACCACACGTGCAGTGACGGTGCGCAGTGCTTGCCCTGACTGCTCGCAGGCTGATGCAGCGGGGCTCTGTGTTCGCAGGCGTGTTCCTGCCGCAGTCCAGCCGCTGGCGTGCACAGCAGCCATTCCCCGAGATCCTGGGGAAGGGCTGGGGAGGAGGAGTCTGGGCTCTAATTCCAACTCTGCCGTCGCCGTTGCCATGTGGCCTCATGCAGTGGCGGTGCGAAGAAGGTGGTGGTGAAGGTGATGGCAGAGGTGACGGTGGCAGAAGTGATGGTGATGGAGGTGACGGTGGAAGTGATGGTGACAAAGGTGATGGCAGAGGTGGTGATGGAGGTGATGGCGGAGGTGATAGTAGGAGAGGTGATGATGGCAGAGGTGATGGCAGAGGTGGTGATGGAGGTCATGGCAGAGGTGATAGTAGGAGAGGCGATGGTGCAGGTGATGGTGGTGGAGGTGATGGCGGAGGTGATAGTAGGAGAGGTGATGGTGGCAGAGGTGATGGCAGAGGTAGTGATGGAGGTGATGGCGGAGGTGATAGTAGGAGAGGTGATGGTGCAGGTGATGGTGGCAGAGGAGATGGCGGAGTTGATGGGAGAGGTGATAGTGGCAGAAGTGATGGTGGCAGAGATGATAGGATGGTGCAGGTGATGGTGATGGAGGTGATGGCGGAGGTGATAGTAGGAGAGGTGATGGTGCAGGTGATGGCAGAGGTAGTGATGGAGATGATGGCGGAGGTGATAGTAGGAGAGGTGATGGTGCAGGTGATGGTGGTAGAGGTGATGGCAGAGGTGATAGTAGGAGTGGTGATGGTGCAGGTGATGGTGGCAGAGGAGATGGCGGAGGTGATGGGAGAGGTGATAGTGGCAGAAGTGATGGTGGCAGAGATGATAGGATGGTGCAGGTGATGGTGATGGAGGTGATGGGTGGATCCTCGTCTCTGGTCTTCCTGGTACAATCAATCTCAATAAACTTCAGTATCCTCACCTGCACATTTGCATCACGGATGGCCATGAGGAGCAGGACAGAGGCACCGAGTGTGTCGGGACATTGCACGAAGCACTTTGCACATGTAATTCACATTGCAATGGAACGTGTGTTGTGCATATGTGTATATGTGCCATTAACATGTGCATGTAAAGTAGAACTCTAGATTTAAACCAAATTTAGAAATTTTTATTATTATTACTTTACAATCAAATGAAAAATTACCTTTACTAGGCATGAGCCCAATGGACATATGTGATGGTTCCAGATTGTGGTTTCTGTGGTTGGTGACTATTTATAAAAAATATTTGTGGATAATCCTGATAAAAATGTAACTACATACATCACTATGAATTGGTTTCTACCTGTGGAGAATTATCTCATATTCTCCCTCTGGAAGGATATCATATTGACAAAAATAGTATTTCATCAATTTACACACATCGTCTTTCATTTCCACATTTAATTTTTCTTTAGACGTAATTTTTTTTTTTTTTTTTTTCACTTTGTTGCCCAGGCTAGAGTGAGTGTCGTGGCGTCAGCCTAGCTCACGGCAACCTCAGACTTCTGGCCTCAAGCGATCCTCCTGCCTCAGCCTCCCGAGTAGCTGGGACTACAGGCATGCGCCACCATGCCCGGCTAATTTTTCCTGTATATTTTTAGTTGTCCAGCTAATTTCTTTCTGTTTTTAGTAGAGATGGGGTCTTATTCTTTCTCAGGCTGGTTTCGAACTCCTGACCTTGAGTGAGCCTCCTGCCTCGGGCCTCCCAGCTTGCTAAGATTACAGGCGTGAGCCACCACACCCAGCCTAGACATAAAATCTTTTACAAAAGCTAAAACCTCGGTGAACGCTAAGTTGGTGACAGGAATAAACTGTGCACGTGCCTCTAAACCTGAAAGTTAACATTTGGCCCCGAAATGCACAGACTCACTCTCAGGATAAGGGTGGGTGCTGCCGTAAGTGGGGGGCGCTCTGACCCACGCCGGGCGCCCTCCCTACCTCTGTGGCCTTCCCTGGCAGGACGTCGTGTCCAAGATGCTCCACGTGGACCCTCACCAGCGCCTGACTGCAGTGCAAGTGCTCAAGCACCCGTGGATTGTCAACAGAGAGTACCTGTCCCAAAACCAGCTCAGCAGGCACGACATCCACCTGGTGAAGGTACCAGCGGGGACAGAGGGAGCGGAGGCTGGGGGTGGGAAGCCGGAGCGAGCCGGGGCCTCACGGCCAGTCTAGGAAATGCCCCTGTGGAGGAGGGGCCAAGCCCAGCCACAGTCAGTCTCCCTGCGTCATGCACATGTGTGCGTACACACATGCAGTTGCGCGCACGCACGGCTTCCATGGAGGTGGGGGCGGGAGGGGTCCTGCCTGCTCCACTCCAAGTCCCCAAGCCCCAGTTCCGGGCGGAGGTGTGTGAAAGTCCTCATTATAAGGTGACTTCCACTGGGAGCCGCCACGGTGGCCTCTCGGGCAGCCCGGCCGACCGGGCAGGACTCGGAGCAGCGTGGGCTGTGCCTGCCACGCGGGCTGGGCGAGGCCAGGCGGGGAGGGTCGGGATCCGTCCCAGATCTGCTCCAGGGTGAACCTGCTTGCCCAGCCCCGTCCAGGCGACTCCAAGGGGACAAATGAGGTCGGCGGCCCCTGGCGTGTGTTCCCACGCTCCGGCAGGCCCCAGAGCACGCCTGGCCTCCCCGTGAGCACGTGGAGGGTCACATGCCCTCTTCCTGGGGGTCCCCGGGGCGCAAGCACGGCGTGAGGCTGGCGTGGGATAGTAGATGGATGCGGAAATAAGAATGACATCGCCCTGTCCTGGGCCACCGCGTGCCAGACACCACCACGAGCTCCTTGCAGCTGATGCTCCAGTAATCCTGCAGGAAGCTCTGTTTCACCCACTTCACCCGAGGGGAAACTGAGGCTCTCGGCGAGGTCCCGTGGCTCCTGCTCCCCACTAGGAGCGGCGGCACCATGGTCACCACGGTGACCCCTCCCCTCCCCTCTGTCCGCAGGGTGCGATGGCCGCCACCTACTTCGCCCTGAACAGGACACCCCAGGCCCCGCGGCTGGAGCCGGTGCTGTCGTCCAGCCTGGCTCAGCGCAGGGGCATGAAGAGACTGACGTCCACCCGGTTGTAGCCGGCGGGCGCCTGGCCAGCGGCCCCAGGCGGCGCCCTCTCCGCCCTCAGACACCGCACAGACAGACGCAGCCCCGTCCTCAGCCCTGGGGGCCGCAAGCGGCGTGGGCAGAGCGCGCTTCCCGCGTCTGTGTTTTCCTTCCCGGCCCGGAGAGGACCCTGAGCCGGGGGCTTCTCGGAGCCGGGCTCTGCCTCCCGCTCCCGCACCCCTCCTCCATCCTCACGCAAACCCCGAGCTTCTCTCACCTCCCGGCGCCCCGGAGGCCCTGCGGTGTCGTCTCGGCACGCTGGCTCGGGCGTGTGCACAGCACGGCTTGCGTGCCGCGGAGAGCTGGACTCCGGCTGCGAAGCCCAGCGCTGGCCGGCCTCCTGGCGCGGCCCCGGTGGCTGAGACCACGGGAAGGACGGCGTCAGGCAGGGATGCGCCGTGGCCGCGGCGCGGAGCCCCTGGCGGGCTGCAAGCTCCGGGCATCTGCGGCCTCCCTCGGGCTGGGGAGGGGCACCCGGCCCCACCCACAGTAATCCAAAGAGCCGCCTCCTCCTCCTCGCGCCCCTGCTTGCTGACTCGGACGAGGGAAGAGCCCGGCCTGGAATCGGATGGCCGTGTTTGCCTCGTGCCACAGTCCACGGGACTCGGGAGAGGAGCCCCCCGGGGGGCAGCCAGGCGCCCGTGTCCCCGGGGGGGCCTGTCCTCCCCTGGAGAGGTGGCGCCGGCCGCTGGGCCCCGGCTCTGGCGGTCTGGAAGCTACCGGAAGCTTCCCCGAGAGCTTCCCCGGGCTCCTGCGCCGGGCGTGCGTGCTGACCCAAAGCAGTGGTTTTGCTGTGTTCGCTTTCAGTTTTCCGGTCCGTGGAGAAACTGTGGATGTTGGAAAAGTCGGGCTCCGTGTCCTCCGTCAGTCCCTTCTCCGTCTGCCCTGAGAGGGCGGGAGGCGCACGGCCCAGGTGCGCTGTGGGCGGTGGCGATGCACTTTGTGGACGTGTGTTGTGCTTCGTGTTTGTGTTGCGTAGCTCTGTTCTGACAGGGACCTTTGCGTGGCGTTTGACGTTTCCCTGGGTGTGCGGTGCACACAGGAGCGGGCGTGGCGCAGACCGCCCTGCTGTGCTTTCCTGTGTCGTGGGAGCTCATGCCCGGGTGGCAGGTGCAGCAGGGTGCCCCGCCCTCAAAGAGCGAACTCGCGGGTCCCTCAGCCTCCCATTGGGGGATGAGGATGCCCCAGCCGGTCCCCAAGCCAGGGGACCCACCAGGTGGGCGGGACAGGAGGATGACTCTCACCTGTGCCCGCTCCAGGAACAGCCCCTTCTGCGGCAAGGGCAAGCCGGTCCGGGCGGCACCTGTCGGCCACAGCCAGGATTCCATGGAGACGGTGGTGTCCTGCTATTCCTCTTCCCTCCATCTCCCTCACGCTAGCACCCAGCTCCAAAAAACACACGTGCAGCATTCTGAAAAACAGCTCCTTAGCTTGGTCTGGTCGTGGTCAAACCTTAAAACACAAACTTGTTCCAGAAGCTTTAATTATTTCGTGAGGATTTTCCTAGAGAACCTCAGAGACTCATAAAAGTCGAGGGACAGATTTTATGTACCTGTTTTCCCACCGTGCCCACTGGGCGTTCCTCATGTTTTCTCAGTAGAAAATGCTTTTCCAAGGATAGAATGACTTCCACTCGTGACAGTTTTGGTTTTTAGGTCCAAATTATTTCACTTCTTATTCGAAACTTAGGGAAAAGTGGATTAAGTCCTTGGGTCACAGATTTTTGTCCTCCTAGAAAGGAAGGAGTCATTTCCGCTTGCTACTTGTCCATCTCTGCCCAGAGCCTGTGGCCCGGCCTTGATCGCGTGTTTTTGGGCTTAAAGTCCTGAGATCCGAGGAGGGAGAGAGCTGAGGAGGGGGAGTAAAAGCTGCTGGGAAGTGGTTGTTCCCCCCACGGCTGCAGCCCCTCCTCTTCCTCAGCAGTCCCCGCCCACGTCACGTGGCCTTACTTCTGAACTGAGAGTGCCAAAGGGACCCAGGGCTCTGCCACACCACTGTCATTCCGCCCACTCCACGTCGTCTGCCTGGGGGGGGGTAACATACCTCTCCTTTGCCCCCTTATCCAGAACAACGTGATACTTGAAACCCTTCGAAGAGAGTCCGCCTAAAGATAGGGTGTCGTATTTTAAGCAAAGTCCCCCAAACCCCCGAATGTGAAGGCGTGCGCCATGCACACGGCGGCGGGCGCGCAGACGGAGGTGTTATTGCAGTTTGCACTTACCCGGCACGGGCACCCCACGCCTAGTGCCAGGCTCCGTGTGATTTGCACGGGTGACATGGACTTCCAGAAGGTCGAATAGCTTTGCCTGCTCACTCGGATAATCCCCACCACCCCCAGATGATAAAACCGCAGCGTGTGCGGGAGCATAGGAGCAGAGATCTCAGGATGCCCAGCCCCCCTCCACACCCCCGCTGAGTACTCCCTCCCTTCGGGGCACCACCCACAGGTCCTCCCTCCCCACGTGGGAGAAGCACCCGCTTCACCCCATAAGCAGGGGCTTTGCCGGTTCCACCCCCAAAGTGGCATGTGGGCAAGAGGTGAGGCTCTCACTTGCACCCTTAAGTCAGACTTGTCCGTGATTTTAAACTAACTGTGTGTGTGTGTGTGTTGGCGTTTGGAAGACCACTCCACTTTTGAGTGGCGACAGCACTTAATGTCAGTCAGTATTGTCGACTAAATGGTGTTCCCGCTGAAGCCGCACGTGGGATCTTCGCCTCGCGCTTCGCTGGCTCTCGAGCACGCGATAGAGTTTGATTTGCGCTGCGTGTCTTCTGACGCGGTTTGTGGCCCCTCGCCTTGCCAGGAGTCCGGCGAGCTCTAGAACCGAGGGCGCGGCAGGGTCCTGAGCGGTGAGGAAGGGCGGGCGGCCCGGCCGGGCGGCAGCGCCCGGGAGCAGGGTCTCGCGCCCGCCCGCCCGCCCGCCGGGCCAGCACGCTTCTCGGCCGGCTCCTCCGACTCAGCACTTTGTTTACAAGCTCAGCAGTTACGTTTACAGGTCGGTTTTGTGCTCGCGCTTTGTATTTCCTGTTTGAGATGGGCGGCCACTGTACAGATATTTATTACGCTTTCCAGACTTTCCGAATAGATTTTTTTGAATAAACATGGTTTTATGAAGTGCAATGTTTTTCTAGCATAACAGTGGCCTTTGGATTTGCTGTGCTGTTGCCAGTGAGGGTCTGGGGGCGGCGCCCGCGCCCCTGCCGCTCCCGACTCCTGGTCGCAGCCAGACGCTGCTCCCGACCGAGAGCATGTGTGTGCATGTGTGGGCAGATGTGTGCACGTGTGTATGTTCACAAGTGTGTGTGTCCATGTATGTGCATGTGTGTGGAGGTATGCGTGCACGTGTGTGTACCTTGCATAAGTGTTCATGTCCACATTGTAGAAGTATGAGTTCAGTCGTGTGTGTACGTGCGTGTGTGTGTGTGTACATTGTGTGGGGGAGCACACGTGTGTGCACATTTGAACATATGTGCACATATCTGTGCATGAGTTTGGACATGTATGTGTGGACATGCATATTGTCCATGTGCGTGTGTCTGGCATGCATGTGTGTGTGTGCACTCCCATGAGGGAGTGGGGGTGCAGGCAGGAGACTCGGGACAGCCGTGTCGTGCAGCAGAGCAGGTGACTGGCAGGTGCGCTGCCGGGACAGCCCTGGCTGCATTTCCTGCGCTTGCCACCTGCCCTCCACCTGCCTGGGCTTCCGTAACACAGAAATAAAACAGACCACACTGTTGGTGTCTGGCCGTCCAACTGATTTGCTCCTCCCCTTTGGTAAATTCCTAACCCGCACGCCTCAGCAGCAACACGGACACACACGTCCCCCACACACCAAATACACACACAGACACGCCCGCACACACACGTCTGTGCTCCCATGGTGCCATGCCGCGTCGTCTGGGCGGCTCCCGGCAGAGTGAAGGGCGCTTCCTGGACTCGGGGACACTCTGCGGTGGGAGCACTGGAACTACCAGGGAGTGAATTCCAGGGCAGACGACAAACGCACGAGAAGTTCTGCCTCCTGCTAAGAGCAGCTCCTGCGCCCTCTCCCTGTTACCCGCTATTGCTGCCGCGGCACATCCCGCACGCCTGTGGCGGGAAGCAACATGACGTGCTGCCCTGCCGTTCGGAAGTCCAGGACAGGGCTCCCCGAACTGGAATCGAGGTGTCACCAGGGCCGGCTGCTTCTGGAGGCTCCAGGGGAGGATCCGTTTTCCTGCCTGTTCAGGGTCTAGCGGCCACCTGGGCTCCGCACCCGGGGCCCTTCCCCCTCCTCCCAGCGGAGCACGATCAGGCCAAGCTCGCGTTACCGCGCTCTGAGCCCCGCTCTGCCTCCCTCTTCCACTTTCAGCCCCGGGATGGCGCTGGCCCACCGGGACGGTCGGGACCCTGTCCCTGTGTTGAGGTCAGCTGACTGGCACCTCCATCCCCCCCATGTAACCCGACACAGTCACAGGTTTCAGGGATCAGGACACTGGCATTGGGGGCAGGGGGATGTCGTCCCCACCACATTACATGCAGTGGAGCCCAGAGCTGCCACACCTGCCGGCCTGTACGTCCCAGGTCTCACGGGAGGAGGGGGGGCGGGGGCGGGAATGGCCCAGGTGGTGTTTTCATCACAGGTGGGGACCCCGACTTAGGGCACCCCAATCGTTGATACAGGGCTGCCAGCAAACCCACTCGCCATTTGCCCTGGAAGGAGACGTTGTCTTCGTCACGCCGGACGGGAAGCACGCCTGCCCTTTGCCCCAAGGACGGCCACTGCCTCTGTCTCCCAGGCTGTCCACTGTGCACGTGTCCCTGGAAAGACAGGCCAGAAGCCAGCAGCCCTGGCTCTGCGCAGGAACGCAGGGGGCCCACGGAGATTTGCCCCCCAGCAATAAGGGGCTCGGGTGGTGACTTGTCCCCCAACACTCAACCATCCGTCACCCAAGAACCCACCGGCAGGCCTGGGAGGGCCGCGGGGCCCAGACGCGGGCAGCTGCTGCGTCTCGTGGAGACATGCAGCGTCACTCTCAATCGCAGATGCGTCTAAGCACATAACGTCAGTCTTTCATAGGACTTGAGATGGTCTTCTGCACACACACACATCTCATTCTGAATATTATGTATATTTTTCTTCCTCAAAGTCCAGCTCGGTGCTTGTCCTGTGTAGCACCAACCCCGTATTCGCTGGAAACGAGCAAAGGCTTACGAAGGAGCCGGGAGCCTCCTGGTTCCAAACGTGTCCCCCAGGGGTACCCAGGACGGTCCCTGCACCACCCAACTGCAGGGCTCGGCAATCCTCGACATTTTTTCCTGGCCCACCACCTTTCAGGTGAAATGAATAAATCTCATTTGCAAAGGTGCGCCCTAAAGCGTCAGGGCTGGAGTGACCTGGAGTCAGGGGCGGGCACCCCGTGAGCCCACAGGACCCGGGCGCGTGCTGCTGGCAGGGCTGGGCTTACAATCGGGAATTATGGGCGTGGTGGCTCACACCTGTCATCCTAGCACTCTGGGAGTCTGAGGCAGGTGGATTGCTCGAGGTCAAGAGTTCGAAACCAGCCTGAGCAAGAGCGAGACCCCGTCTCTACCATAAATAGAAAGAAATTAATTGGCCAACTGATATATATAGAAAAAATTAGCCAGGCATGGTGGCGCATGCCTGTAGTCCCAGCTACTTGGGAGGCTGAGGCAGGAGGATCACTTGAGCCCAGGAGTTGGAGGTTGCTGTGAGCTAGGCTGACGCCACGGCACTCACTCTAGCCTGGACAATAGAGCGAGACTCTGTCTCAAAAAAATAAATAAAAAAAAAATCGGGAAGTATGCGGCTGAGAGGAAGGAGACAGGCTTGAAGGTGGACTGCTAGGGCAGTGCAACTCGGTGGAACTCCCGGAAGGCGCAGGAGGGTGTGCCATCGGCTTTTCTCAGGTGACAGCTTCACTGAGCGCTTGCCATGTGTCCAGGGTGAGATCTGTCACCTGGAGTAAAGGAAGGTGCCCTCGTCCCCATGAGGGCGGGGCAAGGAGAGCGGCAGGGACAGAGGATGGCGCCCACGCCCTGCAGGGTGACAGCAGGCAGCCTGCTGAGTCTGCACCAGGTTCTACCTTGCCCTACCAGCTTGCAGATAACACCGCATTGCCTTGCAGAATACGCTGCATTGCAGAAAATGCAAGGATGTTCTAGTGCCCACTCACCTGTGGACGTCAGCCAATGATTCCAGGTAAGAAAGCCGCTCCCAGAAGGCTAAAATCCAACATGGAAAGTCTGGACACCCCAGGGTCCTTCGAATGGGGCTTCCCAGGCTCTTCAAGGATGGTCAGGTGGCCCTGGAGAGGGACAGCGGGGTGCCAAGGGCCTTCTGCAAGGCAGCCACTGTGTCCCCATGTCCAGGCCTGCGCAGGGCCCTTCGTCCCGTCTTGCCCTGGCCGCCTGTCCTTCACCAGGTGCTTTATCAGTGACAAACTGCATCCAAACCACAGCAGGGTGGGAGAGAGAACATGAACAAGTGAGTGGGACAGACAGCATTCCTGAGGGGGCCTGAGAAGACAGAGCAGAGTGGGCAGGGCTGCCGTTATACTGGGACGGTGAGGAACAAAACTTACACCAGTTCTTAAAATCCACTGGTTCCTCCTAGCGACAGGCATTGCCTGCCTCTCAACAGCCCGTGACCTTTATAGTTGTATTTAATTCATTCTCCATCAGTAGCTGTCATTCAGGATCCAAAATCAAAAGTGTCCACATGTGATGTCTGTCCGATTTGGATATGTGTGCCGCTTTACTGGGAGGAAAAACATCAGATAAGGACCTGGCATAGAAACAAGTCTTCAATATGTTGTTTTCATCACACCTGAGCTTAGGCAGGAAAAGCCAAATTTTCTAACGTACAGCTGTGATTTCATCCTGGAAACACCAACATTGTTGGCAAATGAGTTCAGTCTATTTACCTGTTTTCGTGTAATTTTATCCACATACTTTTCTCCCGATCTTAGCTGTCCTGGAGTTCTGCTTTGGGATGCAGGATAGACTGTGGAACTGGAAACTTCAGTTATATGGAGACAGAGCAAAACTTGCAGGCTTCCAAATTCCGTTTCTTTATTATTAATATTTAAAACCATGGGCCCAGCTCGGTGGCTCATGCCTGTCACCCTAGCACCCTGGGAGGCTGAGGCAGGACAATCGCTTGAGGTCAGAAGTTGGACACCAGCCAGAGCAAAAGCAAGACCCCATAAATAGGAAAAATTAGCCAGGCGTGGGGGTGCACACCTGTAGTCCCAGCTACCTGGGAGGCTGAGGCAGGAGGATCATTTGAGCCCAAGAGTCTGAAGTTGCTGTGAGCTGTGATGACGCCATGGCACTGTAGCCTCAGCCACAGAGCAAAACTCTGTCTCAGAAAAAAAAGCACAAAACACCATGAACTTAGAAACCAGAGCAATCAGGCTTCATTTTTTTTTAGTCCCAAATAATAGTTTAAAAGGTAAGTATTATATCTGAAGAACATATTTTTGTTAAAAAAAAAAAAAAAAAAAGGAAATTAAGATCAGAATTAGGCTCTTCACATAAATTTAAAACACCTTTTAGGCCGGGCGCGGTGGCTCACACCTGTAATCTTAACACTCTGGGAGGCCGAGGCAGGAGGATTGCTTGAGGTCAGGAGTTTGAAACCAGCCTGAGCAAGAGTGAGACCCCCGTCTCTACTATAAATAGAAAGGAATTAATTGGCCAACTAATATATAGAGAAAAAATTAGCTGGGCATGGTGGTGCATGCCTGTAGTCCCAGCTACTCGGGAGGCTGAGGCAGCAGGATTGCCTGAGCCCAGGAGTCTGAGCTAGCCCGGGCAACCTGACCCGTCCTGCCTGACCCTTTGCCTTTCCACTCAGTCAGTGTTACCTCCATGAAATCTCCCCTCACCGCGCCGTCCCTTACACAGCCTGCCCGCAGCAAGAAGGACTTTGCAGTGCAATTGTTCTGTGTGCACCTGTCCCGCCTCACCCTTGGCGCTCCCCTGGGAGCTGGAGCCCAGGCCGAGCCAGCGCCGTGCCCGGCACAAGTCACCATCCGTAACTGAGTGACGCCGTAGGCACTGAGCTGGGATCTACGATTCCACGTTCAGCTTCCACTGCGCACGTGCCCATC